AGACTTGCCCTACCTGTTCAGCCCATGCCTTGTCAAGTCTACTTCATTCTATCCACTCAGGATTTGCCTTGCCTTGCCTGTTCAGCCCATGCCTTGCCAAGTCTATTTCATCACCTACCTGTGTAAAACATGGGTATGGGCATTTGGGGGAATCTTAAGAAGGTATGTTTACAAGAGAGACTGCAAATCATGTGACTTTATTATAGATAATGTACATCTTGATAAAAAAAAGCAGATACAATGCACAATGGAATAATAATGCCAATGTTGTACTGAAAATCACATATAGTTGCTATTGGAGATCTTCTCCAGAAATGCGGAGAACTGTACTGAACTGTATGTACTTGATAATCAAGTATCCATTGCCACATTCTTCAATTATTATTCAATGTGGACGAGTACAAATATACAATCACATTAATGTTTTCACATCATGACAATATGGCAAAGCCTGGTAAGAATTCTAAATACTACTAACTGTCTTAAGTCCACAATAATTCTAATGAAACATGTGGGCATTACCTAGAATATATTGGCATCAAAGCTCTAAAATATAATTTTGTATGTAACAACTAATTTTGATTAACATGCAGGTAAGTGTAATCTCATTGTTTATATCTTCATATTTTGATTGGTTCAGTGTTCCGGCACTGTGGTTGTGAGTTATTAATATATCTATTATCTTTGACAAAATGTACTAAGAATTACCCTCCTCAATAAATCTGTTGTTTTCCCCAATTAGCAACCCAATTTGTGATTTAAACTGGGAAAACTAGATTATAATAAACAAATATGTGTTGCATTGTATACATCATTTTTGTCAAAATAATTATTTAAATTAATTATTGGTCGAGTTGAGACAGTCTTCACCAAACTGAGCATTTGTCTTCCCTGTTCATTTCATCATTCGTTGTGCACCCATATAGTGAACCAAATTCTTCAAAGTTACTCAGCGGACCAATCACCCTTTGGAAAAGAAGGAAAGGGAAATACCGTAGGTTGATTTGACTTTACCTGGACAAAGGCTGAGCATATTGCTCTCATCTAGAGATGGAGGAGGTTTTTCACAGAAGCTTTCTTCAAATTCTGTTAAATGTATGTGTATGGGCATATTCGCAAGTATCTACAACACTCCCCCAGTACATTGTTGAGGGCAGTATAAAAACATTGCAGGGTAAAAATACTGTATTATATCACCATGGAAAGTCTATATACTAAGGCTCATGGATTGGTTTACTGACAAAAACTAGAGATACTAAAAGTGCTTCTCTGTGAAGTGAATTCAATATTCATCCATGCTTTCTGAAGAACTAACATGTAACTACCGGTATGTCCGCCTCAGCATGCAAATACTACTTTATATGTAAATTAGTTTATTAACATAATCAGCTTAATTCCAAAATAGTTTTAGAGATTCAACTATTAGTATGTTCACACGGCAGCATTCTATTGGAGCCGAACTACCTACTTCTCCTTCCACGGATTAAC